ATAATAATCATTTTTAGTGGGCTTATGTTGATGCATTCTGAGCTTCATCCTTTTAGCCCTGTGCTGAACAGCAGACGCACACGTGTAGCCCAGACCCTTAGATTTTAGTGCGGTTGGAGCTAAATGCTTGGATTTTATTAATGGTGTCTCAGGGAAAAATAGAAATCCACAAAAGGCTTCATAGAAAAAAAAATGAGTTTACAACAATTCCTGTCAGAGGTGTTCAGGTTGCTCTCCTTATTTGATTTAGAGCTACATCGAACCTAGTCAGATGTTTCCAACATCTGTCTAGGTTCAAAGACAATGTTTATTTAATGTATCACTTTAACTATGTATATAATAAACATTATTTTATTTTTTATTTTTTTTAAAGAGAGAATAGGCTGATTTATAGAGAATCGGAGGTAGTGGCCAGATGTAAGTCTGAAGTGTAGGCGTTAACCAAAAGCGCTCTAAAACATGCAATCGCATAACTTAGATTGTCCGGCGACAGTAAAACCCCTTTCCACAAAATCTCAGTCAAATATGAGCAGGAATAATTCATAAGCCGGAGAAATAGTAAACCATTCCACACCATATGTGGCATTACTGGGAAAGCAAAACACACAACACAATTTTACTGCAGGCTACACAGCAATGGCTGTGCACAACGCAGGCAGCCATCCTGTAAATATTTCCGACCAGAAAAACATAACAGCGGAGCGAACACTCAATTGTTTTCCCTGCTTATCTCTCTGGGACAGTATCCTGCTTTTTTGAAGGCAGGGCTTTCGGTGACACACAGCTTCCTTCTCAACCTTCTCAACAGTGGTGACTTCACTTCCCAAATTTAGAGGAAAGAAAAAACGCAATCCGGTAAAAGTGTCTCTTTCTCTCCGCCACATACCGGGGACTGGAATTAATTCAGGAGCGTGTCATGTTTGGGGTATCGTCCGGGTCCGCTGAAAATTGCGCAAAATGGACGGAACTATTAAGGTAAGGGTGGAGAACGGGGTCTATGACTTTGTGGGAGACTGCTTTTTTTCGAAGTTGAGCCTCCTTTTTTTTAAGCAATGGTTTGAAATACTCATCTGTGTCGTCTGTGAGCTGGGATCTCCAGTCAGGCAAAGATGAGCGGCTTTTTTCTGTCGGTCTGAAAGCGGGTAACCCGATTTCCTTCTTCTTTCTTTGAAAGTATCCTTCTCGCTTTTTGTATATACATATATATATATATATTATCTGACTGGTTGCGAGGGCACTGCTGTGGTGTGGATTCGAGGCTAAATCAGAGATCACCCTTTGGATTTGGGGGACCGAGCGCATAATTACGCGCGTCTGGAAAGGCACAAAGGAGCGATGAATTGTTTCATACAAACCCATGTAGACTGTACTTTCCTGTAGTCATAAGTAATACTTGTGTTCAGCGATTTGGTTTAGTCTGGGCAGCGGGGGCTGAGCAATAGCCATGACTGGATGTACCGCTGGATAGATGTGTCGAGCTGCGCAACAGTGGTGTGGCACATCGCCCGGCTCGGTACGAAGATCTCGTCTAGGTTAAAAACTCTGACGGCTTAGAATTTACCACAAAAGAAGAAGAATCACATTCCTCCCTGTATTTCTGTTGGTTGTTGTTTCTGTTATCCCCTCCGCTGCCGGACAGGGAGATTTGTGAAAGTGTAAGGAAGGCTGTCATACGGTTACTTCACACAGTAACTGCACGGTTTGCGACACTCTAAACCGCAAACCTTCACAACGATACCTTGGCTTGCTCCTCGTGCAGTTACACAACTATTTTGAAATGGTGCTGCTGCTGGTTGAGGTGTGTGTGTGTGTGTGTGTGTGTGTGTGTGTGTGTGTGTGTGTGTGTGTGTGTGTGTGTGTGTAAGACTAGAAGATGTCAACAAGTGTAAGTAAACTTGGGTGGCTGCGCCTCATTAAAATAAGTCATTGTGCAGCAGCAAAATTGCTGTAATATCTTCATAATCAAGGTATTTTTTTCCCACGGGCTTCTTGTTAATGTTTTGAAGACCCGTTCCCTTTTGAATAAGGGCTGCTTTCATCCAGGCACGGCGTTTGTGCCACTGCTGAGAGATCCTGCGTTTCGGGGCTCAGAACAACTCCGGATTTGTTGTGAAAGAGTTAAATAGCAGGGAATGTTTAAGGAGAAAATACGCATTTAAAAGAGTCTTTCTGCTCCCTTAGAAAAAATAAAAAATAAAAAAAATTATATATATATAGAAGAGGGAGTGAGACAGAGGAGATCAGTGAGGGAGAAAAGTTGATATCGGGAGTTAACTTTCAATTTTGCTCGCCTCTTATAGTTTGCAGCCCGGATTGCTTACGTTTGCTTTAATCCCATTCTTTGTTGAATGACAGTTACTATTCTCCTGTTTGGGTTGAGGGTGAGCCTGTGCCTTTTTTTCTTTTCTTTTTTTTTTGCGTGCAAGTCCAGCACTCACTGGCTCACTCGCACTCAAAGAGATGTTGGTCTGAATGTGGCACGCCTCAATAGAAAATTTAAAAAGAAATATTCCCCATTCAAGCGGATCCACGGCCAAGCATTTGGTTTTGTTTGGTTAAGGCCAGGCGAGACTGGAACTCTCCAATAAAAATAAATCTCAAATTAATTATGGCCTAGAGCGAGGGGCCAGACAGTTCGTGCTTATATGTGCTGCAGACTCCACTTTTTGCCCTCAGTATTTTGACTCGAGCTGTCTTTTAGCCCCAGAGAAGGAATGATCTGAATACAAGTCTGCATTCTAATAAGCAGCAACCCCAACAGACTCGCATGGACCGGGACTATTTCTTCGCTGAAATAACACTCTGAGAACAGTTGTGTTTCTCACAACACTCAGTGGCCCGCTTTATGTATTTCCCACTTCAAGAATAGCCAAATGGGGTTTCCAGGTGCACACCATTGGGCAAAGAGTAGCGAACTCGTGTTTAAAAATTGTTAAAGAATAATCTTCATATATAGAATATATATATATATATATATATATATATATATATATATAATATATATATATATATATATATATATATATAGATATATATAATATATATATATATATATATATATATATATAATGGAGTGATTTATCACTCCTTCTACAGACTGTTTGTCTTCGCTCCATAACCATATTACTCAATTGAACTCATTAACTAACTGTAAATCACAAATCTATAAGACAAATCTCAGCAGATCCTTCTATAAGCTAAAGAAAAAGGATGGGCCTAACAATTGAAAAGCTGCAGAACATAAACTCACCATAGTGTCCGCCCACCTCTGGCTCGTTGCCCCAGCGGAGAGACAGAGGAGCTACTGGCTCGTGGTGTAAGAAGAAATGTCTGGCTGTCTAGTTCCAGCGTCAAGCCAGATGTTCTGTGGTTCGCTGTGTAAACCAACTTGCATTTGTTTATTGGCCTTCCAAAATGTTTGTTACCACAGTATTCATTATGATCTATGTAGATTCTGCCACCACCAACCCCCCAGTCTTCTTGATAAATCAGAGTGGCAGGTAGGTTATGGCCTTGAATCAGAAGGACATGTTGTTAACTTCCAAAATCACTTATTTTATTTTCTTTAAGCAGGAGGGGGGGGGGGGGGGGGGGGTTGCATCATTTGATAATGTCCTGGAAATTTGCAGCTCTGTTTCCAAAGATATTTCGTTTGTTTATGGTACCTAAACTGATTTTGGCACCACAGCGGGATGAGTGTATTTTTATTAATGGAAAGTGACATAAATCCAAAGATGCACATCACACACTGGTGGGATGGAGTGTTTGAAGAGATCTGTTTCTTTATTGCTGATCATAAAACCTTATAGTAAGTCACTTGCTCAAGGTCGCAGCTTAAGTACTTCTTTAATTTCCCCCCTTTATCACCAGTCTCCCAACAACAAAAAATTGAAAACCTTAGACTTTGGAATGTATAAGAATAACAAAAAACAACCCAAGCCAGTCACTGAAGAGTTAAACAAGGTGTCTCCCTTAATTACACGAGTCTGAACTGGCCTCAGGCAGGAGAAGCCTTGACCCTTAGCAGGATCCAGATGTGGTGGTCCCAAGGGTGGGGGCCCACAGCTTCACCAGACCCCCAAGCCGAGAGCAGACAGGCCGGCCCTGCTGCCAGTCTTCGCTGGCAGCAGCTCCCAGCTTCTTTTTTGTGCACACTGAGGCCGATCCTCAAAGCGAAACCAGCCCTCAAAATCACAAGAATATTCATAATCATTATTATCTTAATTACACCGTAACCAGGTGCATTCAGTTTAGCAAAGAAAGTCTCTCATTTTATTTTATTTTGTACTCAGACTCCTGCAATTGCGCAACCTTGGTTAAGGTGAACATTTTAAAGGCTTCTAAAGTTAGTTACCCGTTTTGTTGGATGTAAATGTGTCCCGTCTTTCAGAATTACCAAATGTAGTGTTATTAGTCTGCTCATATTCAGACCTGGTTACTCGTCTAGCATGTGCCTGAAATTGGGTCTAAATTGATGAGGAGGAATTTCGTGGGGTAAAAGAAGAGGAAATATATGTGGGGGTGGGGATCTGGGGTTTCTTTTTTAGACTTAAGCAAACATGGAGTAAAACAGAAAGTTTGGAGTTTAAAAAGCTATGATTAAAATGACAAAAACGTAAATATATCGAATAATAATAATCATTTTTAGTGGGCTTATGTTGATGCATTCTGAGCTTCATCCTTTTAGCCCTGTGCTGAACAGCAGACGCACACGTGTAGCCCAGACCCTTAGATTTTAGTGCGGTTGGAGCTAAATGCTTGGATTTTATTAATGGTGTCTCAGGGAAAAATAGAAATCCACAAAAGGCTTCATAGAAAAAAAAATGAGTTTACAACAATTCCTGTCAGAGGTGTTCAGGTTGCTCTCCTTATTTGATTTAGAGCTACATCGAACCTAGTCAGATGTTTCCAACATCTGTCTAGGTTCAAAGACAATGTTTATTTAATGTATCACTTTAACTATGTATATAATAAACATTTTTTTATTTTTTATTTTTTTTAAAGAGAGAATAGGCTGATTTATAGAGAATCGGAGGTAGTGGCCAGATGTAAGTCTGAAGTGTAGGCGTTAACCAAAAGCGCTCTAAAACATGCAATCGCATAACTTAGATTGTCCGGCGACAGTAAAACCCCTTTCCACAAAATCTCAGTCAAATATGAGCAGGAATAATTCATAAGCCGGAGAAATAGTAAACCATTCCACACCATCTGTGGCATTACTGGGAAAGCAAAACACACAACACAATTTTACTGCAGGCTACACAGCAATGGCTGTGCACAACGCAGGCAGCCATCCTGTAAATATTTCCGACCAGAAAAACATAACAGCGGAGCGAACACTCAATTGTTTTCCCTGCTTATCTCTCTGGGACAGTATCCTGCTTTTTTGAAGGCAGGGCTTTCGGTGACACACAGCTTCCTTCTCAACCTTCTCAACAGTGGTGACTTCACTTCCCAAATTTAGAGGAAAGAAAAAACGCAATCCGGTAAAAGTGTCTCTTTCTCTCCGCCACATACCGGGGACTGGAATTAATTCAGGAGCGTGTCATGTTTGGGGTATCGTCCGGGTCCGCTGAAAATTGCGCAAAATGGACGGAACTATTAAGGTAAGGGTGGAGAACGGGGTGTATGACTTTGTGGGAGACTGCTTTTTTTCGAAGTTGCGCCTCCTTTTTTTTAAGCAATGGTTTGAAATACTCCTCTGTGTCGTCTGTGAGCTGGGATCTCCAGTCAGGCAAAGATGAGCGGCTTTTTTCTGTCGGTCTGAAAGCGGGTAACCCGATTTCCTTCTTCTTTCTTTGAAAGTATCCTTCTCGCTTTTTGTATATACATATATATATATATATATTATCTGACTGGTTGCGAGGGCACTGCTGTGGTGTGGATTCGAGGCTAAATCAGAGATCACCCTTTGGATTTGGGGGACCGAGCGCATAATTACGCGCGTCTGGAAAGGCACAAAGGAGCGATGAATTGTTTCATACAAACCCATGTAGACTGTACTTTCCTGTAGTCATAAGTAATACTTGTGTTCAGCGATTTGGTTTAGTCTGGGCAGCGGGGGCTGAGCAATAGCCATGACTGGATGTACCGCTGGATAGATGTGTCGAGCTGCGCAACAGTGGTGTGGCACATCGCCCGGCTCGGTACGAAGATCTCGTCTAGGTTAAAAACTCTGACGGCTTAGAATTTACCACAAAAGAAGAAGAATCACATTCCTCCCTGTATTTCTGTTGGTTGTTGTTTCTGTTATCCCCTCCGCTGCCGGACAGGGAGATTTGTGAAAGTGTAAGGAAGGCTGTCATACGGTTACTTCACACAGTAACTGCACGGTTTGCGACACTCTAAACCGCAAACCTTCACAACGATACCTTGGCTTGCTCCTCGTGCAGTTACACAACTATTTTGAAATGGTGCTGCTGCTGGTTGAGCGCTGGTCTACATTAACACTGGCTACCGGCCCCCCCAACAGTCAAATTCCAGATGCATTATGGCTGAAGCCACCAGATGTTGAATGGCAAAGTCCCTATTAAGTTCACCCTGCAACGCGTTTAGTTAACAAGTGTGAGCTGGGAAGAATGAAGCATCTGTATTCACTCTTATTGTTGCAAGAAAACCTAATGCGATTTATTTTTCTTTCGGAAATTTAAAGTAGCTAGTTTGTGGCGGCTGGGTGTGGTGTGAGTTTTGGAAGAGTGTAAACGTTGGCCAGACAAACAAAATGTCAGTCTACATATAGCCTGAAATCGCTCATCGCTCACAGCGCTGTGATTGTTTTGTAGCGCACTTGAAGTAAATTACCCCCCACGGCTGCAAGAGGACATGACTATATCAGCCTGGGTTTTCTAACAAAGTAAGAAGCTGCATTACAATTAATGCAATCATAATTGAATCCTTTTGGTGTAAACGACTGGCTGCTACTTGCATTCATGCTCGCTAAAGAAAGGAAGGACTCTCTAGCCATGAGAGCTTCCTGTTCTACACAATCTTTTCCTGACAGGTTTCCTCTTCCTCCTTAAACAAAAGACAGGAATGCCCCCCCTCCCTCTCCGTGGGTGGCTCCTGGTAGATGGCTGTGTGTGAACGCCAAACAGATACACGTGTAGTCTGGATGTGGAGTTATTCCACGCAGTATCCAGCCAGCTCCCAGACACGTAGTGACGCATTTGCGGAGATAGACTTGGCTGATGTAAACAGAACAGAGGTTGTTCCCAGCAGGTGTCACACTCACACAATGGTCATAATGGTGCGTGCTGATCCACAACTGAGCTATGATTTATTTGATGTTTTTCCCCTTTGTCTGGTTACTGCGGAGAGCTATAGTGAAAAAAGCAGAAAGCATGCTTTGGGGAATTGACTTTAAAGGATTAATTTTAAAAAATCTTTAAATTTCAGGAAGTTTCTGGACATTGGGGGTGTGTGTGTGATTATAATTTTTCAGGAGAAGTTCCTCTTTGGTGCTTAACACATTTTCGACTTATCTTAGGACGATTTCAGGCAGACAAAGAGTGTGTAATCGGCTGCCTGTAGCTCTCACTGGTAGTATGTGTGTGTTCCTAATTGGCTCTGTTCTCTCATCCTTTCAGCTTCTTCTGCGAGAGTGCTGTACCCCTATCTAAAACAAAACAAAACAAATAAAAATAAAGAGTACTCCAATCCTGATGGGCACACACCACTTGCCAATCATTGCTCCAATTGTGCAGCCTGATATGTCATTGTAAATATAACGTGCAACAGTCATAGTAGTTAACAAACCCTTTATCAGGCTGCAATGAGACATTCCCTCACTCTCTTACACTTTATCATCCACAAACTAGCTGCTGTGCTCTGCTCAGATAATGTGTCTTGCTGCCAGTGTTCAGACTATGACAGATCCACTGATGAAAATCGCTGGAAAGTCTAATTCTGGCAGACGGTTAAGAGGGTCAGCTTTTCCTTTTTTTTCTTCTTCTTCCTCTTTTTTTTAATCCACCCATTAACCTGAAGAGTCGTATATTACAAAATCCCTAGTTTGGTCTACAGTTGCCATAGCCCGTAGACCTGACGTTTCCTCAACGTTTAAAGGAACACCATCATTGAGGCTTACTAATCCAAATCATCACAGCGTTAAACACAAAACTATATATTCCAGTTTGCGAAAAGCCCGTAAAGCTCCGGTTTATTTGCCACAACCATGCACCGTAAATCGTTTTTTATCTATTTTTTGCATCCAGTTCTGTGAACACAACCAACACAGAGGCAACAGATGGTGCTAAATGGCACATACAAATGTTAACATTTTTTTCCACTGCAGTGAGTATCAGACACTATCAAACATCTCTTCTGATCATTGGATAAGTTTTATGTAACATATCATTTTTCACTGCAGTAATAAGAAAAGCACCAATACAACAGACACCCCGATTGTTATTACTGAAGTTCTAGAGAAGGTTGGGACATTAGGTCCCTTATTAAGCTCTCAAACTGTAGCTGATGAGAGAGTCTTCTCACCTTTTTTCTCTTTTTTTCATTGTTGTATTTAACCTCCTAGAACCTGGCGTCCACATATGTGGACATCACATTTTGGGTTGTCTAGACCAAAATCCTACATTCTGATATCCACTCACGAGGACATTTTACTGCCTCTGTTTTATCAAAATTCAAAACGAATGTCTTCATATGTGGCTCTCATTTTTCTTAGAAACAAAAATCAGGTATACAAAAAAAATCTGGTGATTCTTTATCAGGTCCCAATCGTCCAAATAGCAAAGAGAAATTAAAAATGCATGCCATGAAAGAGTTTGGGTCTTAGGAGGTTAATGCATGTGCATACATGCATTTTATATATTAGTTAGTTATGCATTGCACCAAGAGAAATGTGTCCTACAAAAAGAAAGTGCACTGAAATGAGGGCAAGTGAAAACTTTCCACTCGCATGAAATGCCTTAGAAGTGAATAGAAGTGAAGTTATGTGAGATCTTGAGGATTTCACTTTCATAAAAGCAACATTTTTGAGAATGCAACGGCTGCATGTTGGAAATATTGATCAATGAATATCAAGTAGCATTTTTTCCCCCCGAGGCAGATATCTGGCATGTTGGAATGAAATAATTCAGTCCTTGGGGATTAGACACGTCTCAGTCTAAGCTGTGCCATCACATCCTATCAGATCCAGATGCGCATCAGACCTAGGCCCGATCCTCAGAGGCATATGGCTGTAATGATTTCACTTTAAACTTTAGTTTTATTGTTTTGTTTTTCTTTCATTGTATTTGTTTGTTTTATTCTTGTCCACAAAGATAAATGGAAAAACTAATATAAAACTCATTCCATTCCTGTTAACATGTATACACATTCTGAGCACAGATCTGACTTGGTGACGTTGTCTTTCTCTGCTCCCTGTCAGACACAAACAGGTGACATCTTCATGTTAAAATGTGACCAGCAAACTCCATAATCCAGTCTTTACTTCCAAGACATTACATGAGGAGCATGTTGAAGCCGCATAGCGTTTCAGAGTTTGTTTTCTTTAATAAACTTGCATTGCTCCAGCTGAGTCAAAGTAGAGGGGGGTCACTGGAGCCGTGACCCAAATGCTTCTGTTGAGTCTTCTGCTGTGGGGAGAAGCCCAGCACCAGACAGGGTAGCCACACCAGGGCCTGACAGGGGGAATTTCAGGGTGCAGTGAAATTACAAAGTTGGCGATAAGAAACAAATAATTACAGCCCAGGAATAAGGATTATTAGATTAGGATGCTGTTAACTGTTAGTTTGAAGACCTTTTTTTTTTTTTTGTCGTTTTATATGGGAGCCACTAGGTGACCGCTGCTGGCCGTGTGTTTTGATTAATATTATTGTCATTATTGATGTTACTACACCAGAAGGCCCTGTGGCATCCTATCTGCATCTCCCCTACTCCACTGTGGGCATGATTGAAGTCCTCGTAACATCAACAGGAAGCTACAGCCACTACTCTTGTAAACACAAACCACCGAGGATGCCAGACAGCGATATGACCCATAACTGCACATAATTACTGTAAACAAAAAATACACTAGAGATTCGAAATTTGACATCACAAGTTTCTGGATAGTGTCAACTAAGAAATTTGAGTTGTATTTGTTCATGTCAAGCATTCGCTTTGATGCATGTGAAGCCAGAAGAGAAAGATATTTAGTATAGTGCAAAATTGGGACGCTAGAAAGAATAAACCCTACTATAACACCTCTACAGCTCACAAGCATTAAAGAATTTTGAAAGAAATACCAAGGATTTGTTATTTTCACCTCCAGGAGGCGCTATCAGTGGTGAGTGAAGACCAGTCCTTATTTGAGCCTCCCTACGCTGCTGCTGCCCCTCTACCCAAAACAGATATGACTGCATCTGGCACACAGGACTACGGCCAGACCCACAAAATCAACCCCTTACCCCCACAACAGGAGTGGATCAACCAGCCAGTGAGGGTCAATGTCAAAAGAGAATATGAGCACATGAACGGATCCAGGTAATGACATGACAGCCACACCCTGTGGCATGCATTGTTTAATAGAGATGAGTTTTTATGCACTTTTATCAGACATGCAAGCGGGTGATGAATTAAAAAGCAAAATTGACACAATGAGTTTCAGTTAGGTGTGGCTTTGGCTTTCATTCTCCAAGTCTCTCAAGCTCTCCTGGTAAGATGGAGTACCATTCACTGTTAGGTGTTTTTTAACTGTGTTGAGATGTGGTGAGTGCATTTCCTCAAACCATCCAGTAACTCCTTGCTCCAGATGGCCAGGGCTATTGTCATCGTAGAAGAGACCCCTCCCTTCATAATAGAAATGTTTCGGCGTAGGATAAACATGATCTCTCAGATAAACGCTGTATTTATTTTCAGTGCCCCTTCCCTCTAATGGTACATGTGGACCCAAACCATGGCACATTATGCTGCTATGTGGATCAAACAGATCCACACTCATTGCAGATTTTCAGGTTTTGCTTCTAATTTGTCACCCATTTGTATGACACTTCTGCTGCTGTTGTCATTTGTCATTCAGCGGGCCGTTTCTTTACCACAGCTAACCTTCACGTTTCACATCTAATCTTTGATATGCTTGGCTCAGAATATCTCGTGCCAAAGTCAATGGCTGGAAAGGAAATTCAACAACACCCAGTTTATCTGCTGATAATATTTTTACAACTTACTTGGTGTGCATGTGTGTGTGTGCATGCATGTTTGTGCAGCAGGGAGTCTCCAGTGGACTGCAGTGTGGGTAAATGTAATAAGCTGGTGGGGGGTAATGATACATCTCAGATGAACTATGGAAACTACATGGATGAGAAGAACGCCCCTCCCCCCAACATGACCACCAATGAACGGAGAGTCATTGTACCTGCAGGTAAGAACAGATGTGTATAGTTAGGAAAAATTAATCAGGACATGAGAACAAAATTGATTACTATTGTTAGATGGCAGTCACTTGCCTGTTCTGGTATGATGTCACTAATGCTGAGGCACAATCTAATGAACCTAAGTAGATATTTATTTTTTTTACTATATCCTTTGTTTGAACACTTAGTTTAAGAAATTTGTCTTTCACTCAAAGTCCAAACAAAAGGCGTTTCAGTACATTTCAGAATGGCAAACAGTGTGCCAAAAAACAAGAAATCCAGATTATTTAATTAAAACTGAATGCCGACTTGGTAAATTATTCATTTTTTAGTGTTTAGCTGATGCCAAAGGCCACTCATCTATTAACCTAATAGGAGCTCACTTGGATGCCACTCCTTAACCACAAAGTGGCAAGTTTGGGGTTTGGTTTCCAAATTGGCTGTGCTGTGTATCAGGCATGGGTCAAGTAACATTTGCAAATACTGAGTTTTCTTTGGTATCACAAAGTTCAGTAAATTTAATGATGAGATTCAAAAACGAATACTATTCTATGATAGGTGACTGAACTAGGAATCTGCTCTGTTTTCATTTTACTTAATAAAGTAAAAGCAATATTTAGTATTCTGTCTAAACCACACAAACTGAAGTCTGTTCACCTCAGCATTATTATATGAAGCTAAATCACAACAACAGTTGCCTGAAGGCACTTTATATTGTGAGGTAAAGAGCCTGCAATAATACAAAGAAAATAGAAACTGCCTTCAGTTTGTTTATTACTCCTCCTCCCTTTAACTTAGAGATATGTCTTTCCTGAAGTCTGCCCACAACAGTCAGTAAAACCAGTCTCCTTTCCTTCTGTCGTCCTGCAGACCCATCACTGTGGTCCCAGGACCATGTGCGCCAGTGGCTAGAGTGGGCCATCAAGGAGTATGGCTTGTTAGAGATTGATACGGCAATGTTTCAAAACACGGACGGCAAAGAGCTCTGCAAGATGAGCAAGGATGACTTTCTACGGCTCACCACCATGTACAACGCAGAAGTGCTTCTCTCTCATCTCAATTATCTCAGGGAAAGTAAGTAAACTTTGGTAATTACTTGACGGGTCTCTGGAACAAATATAGGAGTGCAACAAAAAGTGTTTAACAGTTGAAAACAGAAGATAAAAAATAAATCAGAAAGTATTAAACACAGTGAAAAGTCAGCAATGCCATGCTGCACTTCGTTTTCATTACTTTCCTTGTTTGTGCCTAAACCTGCATCACCATCCACGTTTGCCAAAGGGTGAAAGTCATTTAGTTTTTTTTCTTCTTGTTTTTGATTCAAAGTGTGAATGAAAATGACCTCGTTTGCTCAGCATGAAAGGAAAAAAAGGAATGTCACTTTTTTTCATTCGCACTATGCTTGCATTACTAAATAAACAATGAAATTACTAATTTCTCTACGATAGCTAACACGTCTAAAGCACAGCATAGAAACCCAAAGGGTTTCTTTTCCTCTCTCCAGATAACCATCATCAACCTCCCCCACTACACTTTTATACCGCATGGCCCACAGAAAGATGAAGCCCAGGTGCATTGCCTCAGGAATCACGCTAGGCTTGTATGTCCAGAGCAAAGAAAAGAAAGTTGATCTGCAATTTGCAATGGTGGCAGCTAAATTTGAGCCCCTTACCTTTGAAGAATATCTCGCCGTAATCCCCGCTTCATATGTTTCTGTGAGGAAGCGAAGCCAATTTTCTGATGCGGTATGCAAATGACATTTTAATATAAAATGTAACATCTGGTGAGGCTCTGGCTTGAATACATGCAGCGTGGTGTTGAGTTCGAATGCTAAATATCAGCCGTGTGCTATAAAAATTAGCAAACGAGTGGCGCGATTGATGCACGTGTAGGGAACGGTCTGTCCCCATCTTTAAAAAGTTTGGATACTGTAGAATAGTTAGAGCTGCTTGCGACGTGGCTGCAGAATATCACGCGCAGCACACTGGGTGGAGTGACTGATGGCTTGACTAAATTTAACATTACTCTCAAAAAATTGCGATGGGCCTCAATGTGATGTAATGGGAACTGTATTTTGTGGGTGTCAACAGTTTTCTCTATGCACTGCGTCTGGGCAGAGAGAGATGCTTGTCATGAGTATAACAGCCTCATTGTGCAGCGGTGCAGCGGGTGGATCTGTCTGACCGCCACTGGGCACACTTCGCAGAGCAGTTTTCATTATGGCCAATGGCTGTGGGACTTAGCCACGGCTTAGGCGTGCTGCATCACGATTTTGCCCCATTTTTCTTTCTTTCTTTCTTTCTTTCTTTCTTTCTTTTGTGTGCTTTGGAGACAGAAAAGATGTCTTGGGAATCCTCTCCACTTGCCAGCTGAAATTGCTTTGTATTAATTCCTTACAATCAGCGAAATGGACGCTCCCTTTCCTGAGCTGAGTAACCTGTTTTAGGGCAGCTCGCGGACGATGCAAGCGGGGTGAAGTGCTGATACTGTACCTGCATTACACATACAAAATTTTCTGTCTATTACAAATGTGATACAAATATCCAAAGCAGATCAGGCACTGAACACACTTTAGCCTACCAGCTTTCTGTTGCAAAGCGCCTGCCATGTCCTATTGCACAGTTTTTCATCTTATGTGGGACTTGCACAGATTTTACAGCTAGTGCATGGTTATACCATCTCGCTGCCTAAATCAAAAAGAGTATTTCCAGTTGTGAGACCATCTCCTGCCACGTGCCATGTATGAAAACATCAGATGGCATCCTGATTCTCTTGATACTGTCCGGAGCTCAAGTGTGAAAACAGTTTGTGAGCAAAGGAAAGGGGTCAAGGCTTTATGACGACCCTCACGGGGTGATAATTTAGAAATGAAAGGCGTTCTCTCGTCTCCCCCCACAGCACAAACAAACACAATCAGAGACTAGGAGTAACCCTGTCCAGAAAATAGACCTCTGTTTTCACTCACAAGAGCTGGAGCTGGGACTAGTTTCCAGGAGGCAGAGAAACAAAGAGAAAAGGGGAAAGGCTCAAGCAAGCCCTGGAAGTATTAGTGATTACAGGTCATGTGATCTGATTCACTGAATCTTTTAATTATCACCCCCCATGCTACACCAAAAAAAAAAAAAAAATAGATGGTCCAGAGGGATACTGCAATCATTTCGTACACATCTGTGTGCACCATATGTGTGATTGGTTCTGTTTATTGAACCTCTGATTAACATTCCTCAGAGTCATTAGACTCTGTATGTACACTTGGTGAAGGGCGGGAGACGCACTTCCACACCCTACAGCCATACCATAACAAAACATTCCTGCCACGTCACACACACAGAAATACCGCTCAGACATCCATACTGGCGCAACCGCTGGCACAACCTGAACATCTGTCTGGCTTCCCAGCTGCTTACAGTAACAAGGGTAGTTGCCCGTGCATTATTTTGGCCTCGTTGTTGGTCACTTATCCAGATTTTCATAAGTGATGGCCGCCCACACCCCAATGTGCTTTCAATTTGGGGCGCAATTTGAGAATTTGTTCAAATTAGTCTGTCAGGGAGGGGACTGCTGACTGTTTGCTTTATCGCACCCATGTAGGTCGGTTTGATACCACATGTGCTGGAAACGGAGCAGAGCAGCAAACCTCAGACAAGGAGAGACTGTATCTTCTGACACATAGAGATGCGAGGCGGAGAGAGAAGGGAGGAAGAGGGGGGCGAATTCAAAAACGAGCAGAGGGACTGGGGAGACAGAACAATCCAAAGAAGCATGTGAAGGAACATAATAGTAGGAGTTAAGAAATATGTCACTGACAGATTGGGTTGTTGCTTCAGGACAAAAACAGGAGTGTGTGTAAGCAAGAAAGGCAGTTATAGAAAGGGAGTGCGAAATTTAAAAAAAGAAGAAAGAAAAAAATTTGGTGGCTGAACTATTCCTTTTTGTTTTTTTTGCGAAGAGTGTGGAAATGGTCTGAGATGGTCATGATTGAGTGCCATTGGAGAATAGCAATAGTTCTGTTTCCCAGCTGTCGCCGTTGCTTGTGTGTCTGGATGGATTTACAGCGAAGGAGTCCAGAAGGAGAGAGAGAGAGCGAAAGAGAGGAGAGAGAGAGAGTGATAAGTCTGGGCTTCTGCACTGCTGCTGCTCGCTCGCTCGAGAGTGGGGGACATTCTCGAGCCCTCAATAGTTTATACAGACCATAAACATCTGGGCTCGCAGGCTGAGTAGGGAAAAAGGAGCTCTGGAGAACTCTCTCTCTCTCTCACACACACACACACTCTCTCTCTCTCTCTGTCTTTCACTCCTCTTTCTCCCCTCAAAACATTTTTATTGAGCTCCCCTTGCATTAGTTCTTTCTATTGGCAGATTATCACTGGTGCAGAGGGGCTCAGCAGGCTGGCTCTGCGCCTTTTGCCGTTTGCTGTCTGCTGTTAGCCACCATTACAGTGCAGTCTGCGGCTGCTCACTCAACTGCTGGGGTTCGGCCACTTATGAGCTTCGCAGGAATTTATGTCTATATCACATTAGCATAAGTGGAAGTGGATAATAAGCAGTTGCTATTTGTGTAAACACTGAGATGAGCCTAGCTGTAATTGAAGCGAGATGTAGATAATAATTGTAAGTTTCCAGTTAAGAATACTGATGTCAGCCAGTTCTGCATATCTCGTTTTATAGTCCTGTTTTTAACATTAATGCTAATTGTTTTAAGTGATTTATATTTTTCCCATCATATCTTGGACTGGTAACTGCATGATTGCAGTTAGGAACAGCATATAAACTGTGGTCAGGATATTGTTAAAGCTAAGAATAGTGATTAAACATTTCTGAACATTTCACCTCTCACTTGTCCAATCAGATAGGAGAGCACTGGATCCAGATCTCTCTAACGTTTCTAAATGGATAATTTGATGTTTGCGCCCATTTCACGCAACAAACTATCAGATATGTGAAGGTGTGTGGAGGGAGACAGGGTTGGATTGATATGTTATAGCTATTTTTGGCCCTTTTTTATGACTATAAATACCTTCAAGCGGAGTCTGTCTAAAAGTGTTGACCATTAACCAATAAACACTTTCACGTTAATACATAATGGAACATTTATAACCATTCTCTGGATCATTGGCAGGATGGGATGTAATCTTGGTGTCAACTTCACATAGTTTGACCTTTTTTCCACCAACAAGTCTAATCTAGTACTAGTCCCAATTATTTTCACTCAAAAAGGACTGATGCTGCTCGGCCCAAAGCTGAACACCCTGATTTCAGTGGCTGCGGGCAAGAATTTCAGTTTGTAGATACAACCCAAAGATTGCATCCACCATGATCTTCTAATGGAAAACATTTAACATTTTGCTATTTGGCTCTGAAAGGGCATCACTGCAGAACTGGCTCCACATGAGCACTGGGACCAGAACTGGAACTATGTTGATGGAAAAGAGGCACTTGTCAGTCCATCAATTCATAACAGCCTCCACATAAAAAAAACCCTTTGTCTGTACAACAATACTTGTGCATTTGATACTACCTGTTTTACCAGGGGTTTAATAAAGGACCTGTATAACTCTTCAGTTGGCAGACTGGTTTGGTAGCTTGAGGCGGTCTCGAAGTGTGGGCAGGAACTTCAATCTGTGCCCAACACAAATGTAATTTAATGAGAAGAGTGTTTTCTTTTTCTTTCAGTTACTTGCGAACAGTGCCATCATGAAAGGAGGGTCATAAGTTAAAAAAACAATTCCAATACTTTGTAGTGGAAGACTCAGAAATGCCTCATATGAAATATGAAGCCAAGCAGCAGCGTTATCCAGTACAACTAAATGGGTTTGCCTAAACTTATGTGCCCCCCTTTATGTGGCAAGGTGCCTAAAACAGGGTGACTGGGGACCCTGAGTTTGTTGACAAAGCTTAGACCACATGTTGAGGCAATGGTATCGTATAGCTATACAGAATAAACAGTACAGGGGGCTTGCCAGAGGTCCTACACGGCACTGTACAAGGCTTTAGAAATATCGATCAATGTTACTTGCACGTCAGGCGGCGCTTTCGTGAAACCAAACAGTCATACGAAGGAGAGAAAAGAAAACTGTTTGCGGGTGTTATGTAATCTTACAGAGTCTGAAGCAGATGTGATTGGAAAGGGAGAGCAAGAGAATGAGGGTCTCAAAGCTTGAACACTGGCCAGTCCTCCCACTGCGCTGTCAGATTACCGGGATGTGTTTGTTTTCGAAGAGAGGAAGAGGCCATCCAAATAAATAGGCAGCCCAGCCAAGGCTCCCTTCACCAAAACCGTCAGCTGTGGTGTTTCTCTAGCTCGCACTCAGTCGCTCACTCAACCCTCCACTCGCTCTCACTCTCTCCCATACAGCAGTCCCAAATTTCTCTGTGGGATGGTTTGAGGTTTTCTTAGCAATGCTGCCTGTTTGCCTGTCTGGGTCAGACCACATATGTGGCACACAGTAGGAAAGGGGTTAACAACCCCTTCCTCATTCCTCCATCCCCTCTCTGTTCCTCGTTCTCTTACACCCTCTCCCTCATTCCAGAAGTCGGTGCTTCGGAGGCTCGTTTGCCCCTGTGAGCTTACGCTCTGCGTGTGGAATTATTTTTGTATGGGGGAGCTGCGTTTGATTGCCATGCAGGGACCCTTCCTCATACAATGGCTCCCCTGTTCTGAGTCCCCCATCCTTCTAAACTAGACCCAGAGCCTTGGGGGTGCCATGGAGTATAGGTGGAACTGGGAGGGGTGGGGACATTTGGAGGGTTAGAATACATTTGTGGAGCACCCCACATTACCCCACAGCCACCACTCTCCCCCCTTAAAAAAGCAGACCCCTAGTCTGCCACTATGAGGCCCCAACCCACCACCAGCAGCACAGCACGTTAGTCGAGGACCTTGCATCGAAACTTTCACAGACTTTCTGGATTTTTCTTTTTCCATTTGTACTTTAGCTCATTTCTCAGATTTCTCTGCACCACCCCACCAGAAAAGGTACGGTCCCTACTCAGCAACTTGCTGTTGCTGGCTCAGTGCTATATCTTGTCTACACTATCCATGTAGTAACTGCTCTTGTGTTTTCTCTGTGCATTTTTGGGTCTGTTTTTCCACTCACTGATTTATGCCTGGGGGCAGCTAAAATTAAGAGAGCATTTTGGTGCCGCCCAGGGTGCCTGTGTAAGTGGAGGAATGCAGTGCAGAGTTCTGCTCCATAAGGTGAAATGAACAGGCAGCCATACAAGGACTCTTAACTCACTGTCTTGCTTTATTCAGGGGCAGTGGTTCCAGTTAAAATGTTGACATACTACAGGGCTTCCTCACCACTATTCAAAGGACAGGCTGTGTGCTGGGTTTGCTTTATTCGAGAATAGAGTTCTTTGTCATTAATTAGCTTTCCTATTAAAAATAATAATAATTTAAGAGCAGAAGGTACAGAAGTGATCCAATGAAAATGGCTTCAGTGGCATGCCATAGGTATCGAGCTGAACCTTCTACTGCCACCTGCTGGGAGTATTAGAAATTTGAGCTTTTTGTCACTCATACAAAAAACCTCTCATAGCAAATGCAGCAAATTTCAGTTCAAATGAAATATATTCTGCATGTATTCCTCAAGATACTTTATTCTAAAGTAAACACTTTATAAAGCAATGAAGACTCTTTAATTGTTTAAAAAATCCAACAAAAATAATCTCACCATGCTCTCTTCTGTCTCATTGCAGGTAGCTCATCATTATCCTACAATACAACATCTCACACAGATCCATCACCACGGCTGGCTGCCAAAGAGGGTAGGGAAGTTTAGAAATTTTCTGTGCATTTCTCTCCACATATTTAGAGTTGTTTTAAATGCTGTACAGACTGAACAAGGTGGGAATGGTGCAACCAAAGCTAAAGGTGATCGTGTAAGGCAAAAATATAAAATACCCAAACCTTCAGGCTTCGCATGAAGAAAAGCACACACATGTGAGAACAAACGCCACTTAACAAAAAGGAAGCGCAATGCAGCCACCGATTGTTTCTGATGAAGCTCTGGGCTAGTACACCTTTTGGTTTGAGTCAGGCTGCTATTGCTATTCGGGACTACTACCTGAACCCGAAGAATAAAGGCATGTTAACAATAAAACAAAAGCAGAGTGCTGATGAGTTCTTTCCATACCAGCGGGAGCATGAACAGACTGTAAATGTAGTAATTATGGAAAGAATCTATGTGAATGAAGCTGTTTACTGGAAGGACGGGCAGCACAGACAGGTGCCCGAGCAACAATGTGCTTGGTAAACATGACAGAAAGGGGCTGATTGGCTGCTTTAGAATAGACTAGAGGGGAAATAGGGGTTACATGTGTGAGTCTCTGATGAGTGAAATAGTGGCAGAAATCATGATAAGAGGTTAAGGGGACACTACACATAAAATATGCTATTGTAAGACAGTGTCCAGCAGCACTGAGACCCTTTGACTAATATATGTAGATATATATAAATATATATATAGCTTTTAATGAAAATCAAATGATAGTAGCCATTTTCAGCTATTTTATGTAAATTGTAGGCTTTAACATAAACTGTTAGCTGGTTTTATTAAAAGATTTAATGGTTAAGGAACCAATGTCTGATTAAAAACAATAGTGAAAATGACTTTTTAAAAAAAATGTTACCATACAAGCAGCTTGGTGTTCTCCACATCTTAATCTGGCCAAAATTTAAAGGACACAATGAACTAATTGAATTAGCGATACATTTTTAATAAAGCAGAAGAGGAGCGGTCAGAGGGACCAGTTCTAGTGTGCTAAGCTGAGAACAATGCCCCAAGCAGCTCAGGATGACGGTCCTTTTCCTCCCGATACCTTTTTCGCCCTACAAACACTGGTGTGCTGACATGGTTCAGACAGGCGATAGCTTCGTATCTGTTTAGAAAAAAAAGAAAAAACTACACATCCTTCACATAGGCTATATGGTGTCACCACCAGAGTCGAGAGCAAAGACTGCAATAACAATGATAGCCTTGCTAACAGGATGAGAGGCCCTATCAAGGCAGCAGCAGAGGAAATGCTAGGTCTGATAAGTGTCAGAGAATGCTCTCTGCCTCTCGCTCTATCTGCCCCATTGGTGAGAATTCCAGGCCACGTAGTGGTTCTCGCCCAGCTTCATACTAATAGGCCATTGGGCAGGCCAGATAAGATTCTGCTCGGTCACCCCCCGACCTTGGTCTTCCTGATTCTCAGCTCCAGGTATTTGGACTGGCAGGAATAGAGGGTCACTCCCATCAGCAGCATTTCCCTTTCTCAAGAGGTGATTTCTATTAAGTGCTCCTGTAACACCGCCTTCCTCTAACTGTGGCCTAAAACTCTGGCCTTAAGTAGAACACTTGTAGCATTTAAAACATGCTAACTTTTCCAAATTAAGGAAATACGACAGTATTTTTGCTCGCACAAGTGTTACTTTCGTGCAGAGTTTCTGCTTCGGCAATAAAAGATGCGTTGCTTCAGGAGAAGCCTTTATCAGCGTTTGCTCAGATCAGCACTGCCAGATGTTCCACTTCATATTGCCTTTTGAGAGCAGTCAAATACCATACAGGCTCTTTGGGGTAGAGTAAGCACGAGCATACAGCAGGAGACAACCCTTAATCTGCCCCAGACTCTGCGGTGTAAAATGCAATGTTATGAATAAAAGAGAGCATATAAAACACGGAATGCAGCAGCTATGAAAGGACTCGTGCGCGCCGATGTGTGTGTGTGGCTTTCTCAAAGTCTGCGTCTGCTATGTGCCTGCTGATCGGCTTGTAAGTACGGGTTTCCTGCATACCTTACTAGTGTGATATATATATATATATATATATAGATTATAAGTAATATTAATATATATATATATTATATATATATATATATATATATATAATTTATATATATAATATATTATATATATACAAATATTATACTATGCCTATGCCTTTGCATATCTTTTGGACGTGGACTGCATTATTCATGAGTGTAAGAGTTATAGGGCGTTGCTGGGAATTAGACATCATGTGGTTGTTACAAGTAAACACCTACACTTCTACTTGTAAACTACTTTTTTTCCCCCAGATTGATTTTTTTGTTTTTGTTTTTGTTTTTTTTTTCTCTTTTGTGGTTTCTGATCTATTAGCACAGCAATAAAATGTAGAAATGTTCTAAAAGCATTCATATCCTCCCCTGCCATGTTGAGGAAAGATGATTCACCTTTTGAAAAGCATTTCCTCTGGTGCCAAGTCAAAGGCAAAAACAGCTTGAAATGCTTCATTACGTACACAAACCATCTCAGATTTGTGTTTTTTCAAATGCTCACCTTGCTCTGTGCTAAATATAATGTAAGATAAACTGCGCACTTGGAAGTGAAAACGTTTAATGTTAAGAGTGTTGCGAAGATGTTCCCCCCTTTTTTTTTTTTTTGATGGTTTTCTGTTCCAGTGCACCCACTGTCTCCTCGCTGTGTCTAACTCCTGTACTTTGCCATCATTCTCCTCCTCTTATGGCTCCTTACTCACACAGATGGCTTTTAAAGCACCTGTATTATGGGTATTAAAAAAGTTTACCCTGTCTGGTTTTCTCTCCTTGGCTCGGACCCTGGGTTAAAAACAGTCCACAGCTCCACTCTCTCTTTTTCTCCACTCATTCTCTATCCCGCTCCCGTTGCTCAGTTGCGCTTTCTCTCCTAGCCTACTTGCTGTCTTTCTTCTTCCCTCTGTGTCTCTCTCTCTTTCTCTCTCTCTCTGTCTAGCACTTGGGCCTTGTTTTGACTAACTGGTCCTGCAGTTGAAGTCTCCCAGGAGCGTGCACCACACCCGAGACCAGAGTGGAAACTGGCTCAAGTCGCAGTCAGAGCGAGGCCTGGAAAAATGAAGGCGGGAGAGGGGGGTGGGTGGTGAGGGGTGAGGCGGTTCTGTGTGTGCACAGTCGAGTCTACGTTTGTGTGGTTGCCCCCCCAAACCGCTGTGCATTGTGATTCTTCCTCCTGCATGTTCACTTTCACTCAATCAATGAAGCTAAAACTTAATGCACAGTAGTGGTGAAAATTGTATTTGCTGAGCTTTTTCTTTGGCCAGAGAAAATTGTTTTGGTGGCAGATGCTACCAACCAGTCAAGGTGTCTTAAGGCAGAAAACACACCCAAATAACACAGCTTCCCCTCTTCTTCTTCCACAGCTAACAGTAGCTGAGTTTGCAGCCATTGTTTTCTTTCCAGATTCCAAAGTTGTGTTTTGTCTGACTCTTTTTTTCATCATTTTTCTGTCCTGATTTTCTTCTTCACTTCTTTCTCTTCTGTACCTCTTTTGTGCTTTTATACCCTGACCATAATTTGTCTGCTTCTCAGTACGTCTTTCTGCGATTTACTCACTTCCACTCTCATCTCTCTCGTTCATCTGTACCTCTCCCCCACCATCTCCTAAACCCCTTCTGCACGTAGATGGAGGTAACCCCGTCGTGTTTTTTCGGGGTGGTGGTGGTGGTGGAGGGACTGGCGGTGAGTAGAGGGGAAAAAAGGGCCAGTAAAACAAAGAGAGGTTGTCTGCAGGCGAAGCAGGCAGGAAACGCAAGTCTCTCAGGACTCTCCCCCAGTCACTGCTCCTTGGCTATCCTGCCAGCCCACACCAGATTGAACCTGACAGCCCCGTTGAGCCACAGCAGCCCGCTTGTTATTTATCCCTCCTCTCCTTCTTTTTGTCTTTCTCTCCTCATATACTGTCTTTTCTTTTATTCATTTGATCGTGTTCCAAATTCTTTTCTCGTTGCGAGCTCATATATGTTTCGCTTCATGCATCTGCCGTTGTTAACTCTGCAGGGGACACAGAGACAGGGACAACCTCTCTTGTTTGCAGATTGTAACGAGTCCTTTGCTGAAGCGTTTAAGGTTAAAAGTTGATATGATAGAACTTAGCGAAGAGAACAAGAGGTTCAACATGAATATAAAATGTGTTTAAAAAGAAAAATAACTAGAACCAGCCAAACTTGGGAAACGTTGTTTTTTTTCGTTCTAGTGAGATTAAGTTGTGCTCAGATGAAATAATCATTTGATGTGGAATGTGTCATCATTATTTATTATAAGGAAAACACCGATGCTAATATATTCTTGTCCACTGGAGGGCAGTGCCGCACAGTGTGTAGAAATGTCTGTCCGTGTAGTGAAGCGAATGATGCACAATTTGATGTCACTGGATGTTTTCTTTCTTGGTTTCGTTTGGTTTTTTCCCACTTGGACTATATGAGGTAATATGGGTCAAGATGCTATACCCAAAACACATTTTTTAAAAAGCCAGGCACACTTACAATAATTGATAATGTGTGATTTTTTTCCCCATAACTGAAATCTACAGACTTAGAAAAACACAGGAAATTACACTAAAATGAATTTAATAGTTTTATGTTTTTAATGACTGATATCTTGCAAGGATCTGATGAAATGGAAATGGAAGTAAATTTCCCATTACTTGTCAGACAAATCTAAGTCAAAGTTAACAAAGTCACAGTTTAATGTCATCAGCTCTATACAAGCATGAAGAGAGATGAAATTGTGTTCAGTTGTTTTCACTTTAATCAGCATAGGAATCGTCTCAGATCTTTACAAAAACCAGCACACGATAACCTTTCAAACATATCTGGTCTTAAAAAGTTGCAATTCAGCATCTGATTTATCAAACAAGACAACTAAAGACTCGTCCCTCACTGATGGGAAATAGAATTGCCTCTTGACCTTCTAGCAGCTTGCTACTTCAAATCCCTTGTCATCGCCATTGCACCATCTCTATCTGCTGCCCTCTGGGAGCAACGCTGCCGACAAAAAAAAGAAAAAAAGAAAAAGTTGGCCGATCACGATAACACCGTTGAGCGCTACTCAGCATAAAGCACGTCTGGCCTCATCATATTTTCCCCTCGTGTTCTGACAATTGTTTGAACTGTTTTACTCCATAATAATACAAACCATCAAGGGTGCTGGCCAGGTGCACTCTGAGTATACAAGGGTGTTCACTGCCAGAGGAACGACACAGCCTCTGTTTTATCTGTTTGTGTCAGAGTGATTGATTGTTACTGGAAGCTGTCCAGCTTCACACTCGGTTAGTTTGAACCACAGACACACACACACAGCAGGTAGAGCCCATGGAAACCGGGCCAGTTTGGCTGTTTGTCAAGGTTTCGTGAAAGCCGCATGTGTGGGAAGAGAGGATGATAGTGGATATCATGCACATGTATTGTCTTTGTGTGTGTCTCTGTTGTACGTTAATTTGCATCAGTCCCTTTCATTTGTGGTCGGGGTGTTGCAAGCTCTTTAACCAACTGTATTCTCTGTAAAAGATTGTGCCATCTACATTTTAACCACCACAGCAAGCCAAACAAAACCACATTTCCATGTCCAGATATCCTGTGAAGAACATTTTAACGATGTTTTGATGGATTTATTAATGCCCTAACTGTTGGCCAGCTGTAATTGTTAGGATTGGCTTGTGCACCGTGGCATTTTATGAATTGTACTTAGCATGTTTAAAAAAACAGTAACTGTTTTCCTATTGAAACTTTGTCTGTTCTTTTGTCTTTGTTGTTGTTAGACCCTTCATATGATGCTGTACGGCGGACAGGCTGGTCCAACAACATGCACAGTGGCAAAGGTGAGGGCACACAAATCACCAATAATGTCTTTAGTTTTTTCGCTGAACAGTAATGGTAAGTATGAGTGGAGCAACTTACTGAGCAGGGGCATGATTCGTGACAAACCCAATCATTTGTTATGGGGTGGAGGTTAAATAGTTTTCAGATACCCTTTAATGCAACTCTGCAGCATGCGAGCAGCCCTTCCAGAATCCACAGAGAGTCTAGACATGTGGGACAGCCTCCTAAAGATTACACTCGGCCAAAAGAAGCCACTCATACCACCAGCTACTGCCTTATTTAATTTGGACCACTGCTGGCATTCCTTTAAGATGTGTATATTGGTTATCTGCAGAGCACCCCTACTGATGTTTTCTGTGTCTCTCTTGTCCTCCACTTATTCCATTTCTCTCTGCAGGCTCGCCAGTGGTTACTCAAAATGTGACCAAGTCCACTGAGCAACCCAGAGCTCAGCCAGGTACTGGCTTACGTGGTGTCTTTCTTGACCTACTTAGTATAACACTCAAATCCGAGTCATACCAGCTTGTCTGTTGTGCCGCTTGTTCTGACAGATCTTTCTTTTAGTCTTTCTGTTAACAGTCGAGACAGTGAAGCATAATCACTTTGTGTTTATCATAGCATTATCTATTCTAAGATCCTGGTATTTTGTGTTTGTTTACTCGACTGATTCTGCTAAAGCTTCTCTTTAAATCCTCCAGCCTTAAGCAAAGTGTTTACTGACACTTACCAACAAGTGTAGTTGCTTCTTCTACTTGCTTTATTATTTGACAGACTTCAGCGTGTAACACTAATTTGTTTTGTCAGTGTTACTGTTAGTTGTGTTTACTTCATTTCAAATGTAATGACATGAAAAGAGCTATAAAAAGTGAAATTGTATCGATTCATCCAAATCCACCTATTTGAATGGTCGATTCATTTGTTATGGATATAGGATAGATACTTTAGAGTATCTACAGACTAAGTTCAGCGTATCATGCACTATGACAATTATTTGAAGTTGAAAGGTGTATTTTATTGTATCAACTAATAATTGTGGAAAGTAAATATCATAACGATTTATTTGTCATTGAAATGTGTTTAGAATTTGCAAATTAATGATGAATCATTTCATAAATCATGAAATACAATTTATGGTATGGGTAATGGTATCAGCAGTACTGGCCCTGTATTTACTTGGTTTTACTTGATACCAAGTAAATTTTGGAGATAACCCAAAGAATCTGCAGTATCGCACAGCACTAATTGCCATAATACTAGTTGTGATGACTCACAAAGCTCTCCTTTTGCCCACAGACCCTTACCAGGTTCTGGGTCCCACCAGTAGTCGTTTAGCCAACCCAGGTAAGTTTCTCACCATAACCAGGTTTTCAATTCAGCAGCTGTAAAAACACACTTTCTCCAAAACCTTTGAACAGCATTGTTAGTATCCAACTGAGCTTCCAGATGGATGAGAAAGCAACCATGCCTGAACGTTTGCTCTTGTGTTTTCCAATAGGCTCAGGTCAGATCCAGCTGTGGCAGTTCCTCCTGGAGCTCTTGTCTGACAGTGCCAATGCGGGCTGCATCACTTGGGAGGGCACCAATGGCGAGTTCAAGATGACAGATCCAGATGAGGTGGCGCGACGCTGGGGTGAGCGCAAGAGCAAGCCCAACATGAACTACGATAAGCTGAGCCGTGCACTGCGCTACTACTATGACAAAAACATCATGACCAAAGTGCACGGCAAACGCTATGCCTACAAGTTCGACTTCCATGGCATCGCTCAGGCGCTGCAACCGCACCCGACCGAGTCTTCTATGTACAAATACCCCTCGGACCTAGCCTATGTGCCTTCCTACCACACCCACCAGCAGAAGGTCAACTTTGTATCCCCGCACCCTCCATCCATGCCAGTCACCTCCTCCAATTTCTTTGGACCCACTGCTCAGTACTGGAGCTCGCCCACTGCAGGCCTCTACCCCAACCCAAATGTTCCTCGCCATCCTAACACGCATGTGCCATCCCACCTGGGTAGTTATTATTAAAACCACCCTTTCTGATCATCCACCACCCCTTGAACCTCCCCTGGCCCATGCCATTTGCTGACATGCACTCTCAATGACGCCAAACCAATGAAGACTGAACTGACAGAGGTATTTTGTCCTCTGAAGAAATTTGATCCAAAATGAAGGATGATCAAACTAAAGGAAATTTTTTTGTATGATTATATAAACAACTGGATATTAAGGTCCAAAAAATGGAATACTACTTACCTTTAAATGACTACCAAGTTTTTTTTAAATTTTTTATGATTTATGGACATTTATCTGAGTTTCATGTGCCTTTTCCTTCCTCCTGAAAGCTGCACCTACAGTAGCTGCAAGTGGGTGTTCAAGGAGCTTACTAAACCAAAGCCTGAAGACAGAAGATAACCCGCAAGTCTGTCTGCCTCATCTTCCCTTTACAGTACCAGACATGGGCCTATTACTTATGGGTCTCAAAAAGCATCCTTCTCAGTATGTACCTTGTCCTGTAGAGCATCTGCCTTTTCATTCATCTAAAGCCTTGACAGGATTTCTTATTCCCACTACATCTAACCTTCTGTTTTGACTGTCTATGTTTTTTTGTTCTGTTAATCTGCATGTTTTCATGTGTGTGTGTGTGTGCATGTGGAGAGTCTTCTGGAATTCGCTGGACAAGAAGGAGCTCTCATTGAGGTGGACTTTTCTCAGCACTGAATAAAATTTGGCAACTGGAATATGCCATTCACTATGCCATTTAACTTATCCTCCAAACTGGAAGGCTAGAGAAGGGTTGAATGCAGTTAAGAGGGAAGCGCTGTATGTTTTTGCTGATTTGGGTCAATTCAGTTGCTTAAAATGTTTTCTTGTGAGTTGTTTGCGGCGTTTGAGCTAGGCTAAGTGTTGACTCGATTGTGCCAGGAAAGCTGAGTCAAGATATAATTGCAGTAATTTGTTACAATAATTCAACGTAGGTCAGATGTTTTCACTCGGGGCCACACATTAGGCTATTAAATGTTTGCAGAGTCTTCGCATTTTTCAACCGTGCCATTTCCAGATGTGTTGTCGCTTGACCGTGTCAGTATTAATGTGAATGTCTTCTGGTTTGTGAATTTTTTTAAAAAAGGGATACCCTTTGGCAAAAATCTAAATTTGTCAGAAGTATTCATTTTTATTTTTAAACGTTTGATGAAAAAAAAGTAATTCCTTCACACTTGAGATCATGGATAAAAAACACGAACGTGCCTTTTTGCAGATGTGGTCATGTTGACGTGTAGATGTTATCAACTGCCCTTTGGTGGCTATTTATTTTCTATCCAAAATTGTCTTAAATGTTCTTCTATTTTGAATATGTGCTGTCCTGAAAATCCTGCCATGCTTTAACTGCTGATTTTGTATTTTTTTTTTTTACCATATTTTGTCTATTCATTAAAGATGAGACAGCACTTCATCTTAAAGTGCACGCAATGAATTATCACACCACAAATCTGACAATTTTGGACTTTGAAATGGACTCTGACAGTAAAAGCTGCCGTGGTGTCTCTTTACTCTTTGTAGGCCAGTCACGACCATATAGGTCAGCACAGTAGATGTGGCTATGCATCAAGTCATGTTAATAGACAGTTAAGTTGCATTTTTTTTTTTTTCACCAGGGCTGGATCCTAATTTGAGAGTAACATGTGTGTCTGAATGTTAGTTTCTCACTGATCGTAAAGCCCAGCTAAATGCACATGAATCTCAAGTCAGGATTTCATTACCACAATGTAAGAAGACATATCCATCTTCATGTGTTCAAAGCTGTTAATATCGGAAGTATTCCTTTAGCGTAACTGAGAATGGACACTTGAATATAAATTACCTGGGAACTTTATCAAAGAACAAATCCGATAAAGTATGACGAGACGAAGCAAAGAAATCCTCAGATTCGCAAGCGCTGTGCGTTTGTCAGACCTATTTTTTATTATTTTATAAGCATCAGTCAACTAGGCATTAAAGCAACTTACTGTATAAATTATGCAGAGTTATTTTCATATGTGACACAGTATTAAAAAAGTCAAGAAAATTAATACACGAGTTGACCTCGGTCAAAAATGCAAAACTTTTAAGTCCATTTCTGCTAGGTGGTTTGTTAAGCTTTTTAAGCGTTTTTATATCTGTACATTTGGGCAATACATTTTACCTTTTTGTTTTTTTTGGTTTCTCTTTATTGTTATTATTTCTCAAGTTAGTTATAAAATCCTAAGTGCCATTAGGTGTAAACTATATTTTTGTGTATTCCCAAAACCATGAATGCCGCTTGAATGATAACCCGATGGCCGGGGATTCCTTTACTATATATGCAACGTGTGATCATGATGCCTTGTTTCCATGGTCAATCACTTTTCTTGCCAAATGACAGAGTTTCAGGTATTTTATGCAAAATAATACTAACAGTATTATTATCCACGATTAATTTCTTTTGACGACTTATAACATTCAGTGAGCAAATTGAAAGGAGAATATGATTTGTAGTATAAAGAAATTTTTCTAATGCACCCTGACTATTCATGTTTCACAAGCATTATCAATGAAAGGGATCTCTGCTACTTCATATATGCAATGTATTTTGGGATATCGAATACATTAAAATATATATATATATATATATATATATATATATATATATTATATATATATATATTTTTAAAAATATATATATATATATATAATAGTGTTATGTTTTACACTTACCAATGTATTATTGTTATTATTGTCATTCCTGCAATGTATGAAGTAATACCTTTTGAAAAAGGGCTTTTGTATAGGAAAATGTGACAAAATAAATATTTTTACCTCTCAATTAATGCCCTGTTGCCTTTCTGTGGTTTCACCAAAAAGTGAGTGCTAATAAAAACAAAGACTCAAAGAAACCATATCTCTAAAGGCACAGTAGTGTAATCTTGACAGTAGCTTGCATAATTACACAATACATCTCCGTTTTGAGTTTGAATTTTTTTTAAATATATTTTGCAGAGATGCATCTGAGTTTCATGTGCCTTCTTCATCCTCTTGAAAGATGCACCTAGAATTGCAACTATTTACACACATTTCTTCCTATAGGTCAAAGTTAATGTGTTTATATTTGTTTGTCGTGGTGAAATCTAATCATTTATGCGTGCAGATGCAAAACTCCTTAGTTTTAATTAGGTCAGAGCAGTGTGAGACTTCTATGTGTCTTCATGGGTTTTCTGAAGGCAGCCTAAAATAATGTTTTTGGCAGTTAGCATCTGTGCATGCTGTCTGTGTCAAACAGCAGCTATGTGGGAGCATGTGGGAGCATACTGTCTAAAATGTATATAATGGAGGCGACCGTGGCTCAGGGTATTGGGAAGCTCATCTGTAACCGGAAGGTTGCCGGTTCGATCCCCCTTGTCCTGGTCGTTGTGTACTTGGGCAAGACACTTCACCTACAGCCTACTGGTGATGGCCAGAGGGACCGATGGCACAATATGGCAGCCTTGCGTCTGCCCCAGGGCAGCTGTGGCTACAACTATAGCTTGCCTCCATCAGTGTGTGAATATGAGAGTGAATGAATAGTGGAATTGTAAAGCGCTTTGAGTGCCTAGAAAAGCGCTATATAAATACAATCCGTTATTATTATTATTATAACAGGGAAAGAGAATCGCCATCGGTGTTGGTCAAGTTACTTGAAAAAAGTAATCAGTAACTAATTACTGATTACTTCCCCCCAAAATTAATCCTGTTACTTTACTGATTACTTATTTTCAAAAGTAATTAATTACTTAGTTACTTTTTAAAAACACAATTTACAACCTGAATAGGTAATAAAGCGATAGATCTTTCAGCCCAATTCTACTTTTTCTGCATAATCCATCATATAAAATGTAATCAAATGAAAAAGTCTCTTTTTAAAACTTGTTTTATTTTTTTTAATCTTTTAACTTTATGCATCAAGCAAACATTAAATTATATGCAACATTCTCTGACTGGAAGAAATTTGTTTGACATTTAAACCTATTTTCTGCACATTCCAGCACATAAAATAAAAATATTTTTCAAATAAATACAAGTGAAACACAGCAGAAAATAAATAAAATCAAACACTCAGCGGTCCTGTTGCTCTATTTTCACCTGTATGGCAGGCAGATGTTTGCTCTGTTGCAGGTGTGCTGCAGCGGTCAGTGGAAGAATCTGCGAGTTTGTCTGTGAATTTCCCATTAGCGTACTCGGTGCTTGCTCGGAAGTAAAAAGAAGCTTTTTTCCCACGCAGTGAACAGCGGACGTTAATGTTTTTGTCACTTTTTACGGAATCAAACTCTAAGTAAGGTCAGTACTTCCACGCTTTAAACGCTGCACGCTCATACTCTCTCCCGCACTCGATATATTATCCATTGTTGATCTGCACACAGCTGTTGCCACGAACGTCGCACTCGCTTACGTCATTGTCATGAGACACTCTCGCAAAAAAAATCACAGTTTTAGTAACGCAGTAACGCAGCGTGCTTATGGGAAAGTAACAGTAATCTAAATACCGTTTTTGCAATAGTAATCCCTTACTTTACTCGTTATGTGTTACTGCCCATCACAGACATTTTTTTTTTAATTGAAATATCATTGTGGAGCATGTACCATCTTTATTTTTTTCTAGTAATTTCACTCATTGATTTGCAACATCATGTTCAGACTTTTACATGAGAGCATATGCCTGGGAACAGAGAGCTGCTCTGGGGTCTACCTTAATAATGAACTGTATGTGGTGCTGTTTCTCCAAATAGTGAATTTTGGTTTCATGTTCTGACCCTGAAATCTAAATAATGGTTTTGTAAGCTCCCAGCTGTCATCTCGTGAATTATTACGCTAGTTTGTCTTTTCCTTCCTGTTTGATGTCACAACTTTACACTGTGTACAGCTAAAACAGCCACAGTAGAGGTTGGCACCAGTCACAGTATGTGCTTTGACCTTTTGTGATCACAAGTCCTTGTAAGGAGCTTTGATTCCTTCAGATGGACAGTAGAAACAGTAATATGGCACAAACACTGTATTGGTTGAAAATCTTTTTTATTGATATCAACATTTTCTCCCTGAGAGAGAATACAAAAAGACTTTACAAACACAAATGCATACTGTACTCAGTGCTGCACGCTTGTTTTCTGTGAACTTTGTTCACTTCATTTAAAAAATACAAACAAACAAACAAACAGAACAGACACGAAACTATATAAACTAGTGTTGAAAAGACTTGCGCCAGTACCCAACCATTTGCCTGTACCTCAGAATCTGAATAGTATTCCAGTGTTTCAAGTTCATGTGTCAATTCTTCTACACGTTATGGCAGTACTTAAAGAAAACTTAAACTTTGGTGTTTTCTCACCAAAGGCAACAACGTTGCTTCTTCAACTGCATTGTGAGGGTTAAATACAGTTTTACACATTGGTTTGTTTTTCTTCATGTCCATGCTCTATGAACCTGAGGTGAGGCAAGTGGTAAAACAGAAGAGCTTTTCTTCATTTAAAGCAGGAGCATACTTTGTTCCTGCATTGAAGCGTGTTGTATAACCAGGCCTCCCTTTTTGAAAACAGCCTTATGGTCAGCAGACAGTGGCAGGTGTGGTTTTATATCTAAATAGTTCACAACACACACACACACACACACACACACACACACACACACACAAAAGAAGTGCAAGTAAGCAGATTTCTTTACTTCATATCTAAATGCTACACAATGTGCTGCCATTTCTATTTGTGTTGCTTTCCACCTCTTACATTTTGGTGGCATCTTGGGACTCAGTGATTTCTATCACCTCAAAGCCGGGATTGTCTTGTCCTTCTCTGGAGTGGTGATGATGACCCTTGATATTGTGGAAACAATAGGCACAGTGTGCAGTGGCTACTGGCACCACTTTGGAGAAGTTGGAGAAATCGACTCTGTATTTGTTATCCCTGCTCCTTGAGATGATGGGCAAGAAGCTGTAGCCCCACATAATTTCCCGAGGAATATAGGAGGTCCGCACTTGACAAGAAGCACTTGTGGACTCCGCTGTGCCGTCCAGGAAGACGACCAGCTCAAAGTCTTGATTGTGGAGTGTGTCAACTGCAACCTCGAAGAAGGGGCTGCTTTTGTCGATTATGTGATGGAGAGTGAGAGGACAAATAAAGAAGAGGTTGTCCTTCCCAGCATCCACCATAAAATCAATGTTCACCTGATCCATGATTATCGTCTCTCCATCTTGTGTGGTTGTCGTTCTCAGGAGCTTACCGTAGATCTGGCTGCCGATCATCAGACTCTTACGTAGGTTGGCCACTCTGATTGAAAGGCAAAGATAGTCATTTCTGGGGCTAATCACAGCCATTGGACTAAATGAGATGGTTTTAGCTCTCTTTTTAGGTAAAGAGATCTTGGCCATTATAAGACCACACATGAAGCAATTAATAATTGCTCCGAGGACTGACTGGATAGTGACAAGAGCAACAGCACCCGGGCAGTGAGGTGTGAGTGCTCGTACGCCGTACCCAATAGTGGTCTGTGTTTCAAGGGAGTAGAGATATGCTGTGGTGAGTCCTGCAACACCCCAAACACACGGAGTGTGATCTGGTGAGGGGTTTTGCCAGGTCAGATCTCCATTATTACGCACAATCCAGTACC